GATGAAGATATATGTTCAATTCGTGTTTCAAATGCTCTTATCATATTGCATTATAAATTGAGGGCGTGTCCCAAACTATGGATTATGTATCCACATGTTATAATTTCTAGTCGTGATTTATGTGGAAGTTATTATGCCAAGTTGTGTAGAGATTGTGATTGTGATACACCTCCACCCGCATACATTGGGGTGAGGCAGCATGACCGCTTTGTGTGGGAATTATGGTANGCTTTGTGTATAGTTTTGGTATTGTTGTGGCACCACCACCCGCATACATTGGGGTGAGGCGGCATAGCCGCTTTGTGTTGATATTGGTATCGTTGATGCATTTCCACCTGCATACATTGGGGTGAGGCGGCATAGCCGCTTTGTATAGGTTCTTGATACTGTGGTTATACATCCACCCGCATACATTGGGGTGAGGCAGCAGGGCCACTTGATTAGAGTTGTGGTATTGTACGTACACTTCCACCTGCATACATTGGGTGAGGCGGCAGGGCCGCTTTGTGTGAAGATGGTTACATAGGATCTCATCTTAAATCCTATAAATGTTATTGATAGCTTTTAATACGCTTGCTATGGTTTAAACGGTTATCTATGTTATTCTATTGCTGCACTGGTTCATCATATTCATCTCCTATTTATGAATTCTTAAATTAGTGTTTAGTTTTCATACTAGTACTATTCGACGGTACTAACGTCCCTTTTGCCGGGGGCGCTGTATCTTTAAATGGATGCAGGTGGTTCCACAGCAGGAGATATTGATCAGTGATAGCAGTACACCTTCTTCCCAGCTGACTTGGTGAGCCCCACTTCATCCCGGGGTCATGTATCTTTTGTTCTTTGTATATTCTGTTTGAGGTATAGCCGGGGCCTTGTTACCGGCATTATCATTGTACTCATCTTTATCTATAGAGGCTCCGTAGACATAGTGTAGGTTGTGTATTGGTGTTGGGGAAGACAAAATATGTTATGTTGTGGTTGTATTACTTGTCCATTGAGACTTTAAAATGATGAAGCTATTGGAAATGAATTTGTATTGTAGACGTGAACACCATTTTGTCTAATCAATAAAAATATGTATTATCTCCATTTGTGGATGAGTTTGGGTAGAATGAAATCTAACAGGCTTGCTCGGTCGGGTTCAGTTGAGCACTGGTCGCTCCTCGATTTTGGGGCGTGACAATCATGCCAATGTTCCTTATCAATTTTGGACAAATGCATTTGAGACGACAGTCTATACTATTAACAGATTACCCACTCCCCGGTTGAACAATAAATCCCCATTTTGTGTATTGTTTAATATGAATCCTGGTTATTCTTTGTTGCGCATCTTTGGTTGCTTATGCTTTTCTTGGCTTCGCCCTTACACAAAGGACAAACTTTCACCCTAGATCTCATCCGTGTATATTTTTGGGATACAGTAAATTACATAAAGGATATAAATGCTTTGATATGGCTTCTTCCAAATTCTATGTTTCTCGTCACGTCATTTTTGATGAGTCTATTTTTTCTTTTGCTTCACAGGATGTTGTGGTGCCCAACTCCTCTACTAAAACCACTATTGATCCATTGATTATTAATCTACCTTACCAACAAACCACACCAAGCACTACCTCACCATCAGAGAATCAGAGTTATCCCAACTCCTCACCTTCGACTTCTTCCATAAGGCCAGCATCACTGCCATCAACAAGTGTGGCTCATGGACATACCGATAATGATATTTCCTCTTCTCCATCGAGCATACTGATTTGTGATGACTTATCTACAAACAATATGGTTGAAACATCATCTTTACCATCTAGATCCGGGAACTCCACTAATCAATCTACTCGCAGAATGGTCACACGAGCGCAGACGGGCTCATTGAAACCAAAAAGACCTTTCTCTTTGTTAGGAACTAGCTCAATCTCACTTGAGCCCTCTTGTTATTCATATGCTGCTAAGGATGCCAATTGGCGTTGAGCTATGACTGAAGAATATAATGCTCTTATTCAAAACGGTACTTGGCAACTAGTATCTCCTTCACCATCCCGAAATGTGATTGGTTGCAAGTGGGTTTACAAAACAAAATTAAAAGCAGATGGATCTTTGGATCGCTATAAAGCAATGCTTAAGGGATACCACCAACGTCTGGGAGTAAATATTGTTGATACATTTAGCCCAGTTATCAAACCAATGACTATTTGGTTATTGCTTTCATTAGTTGTGTCTCATCAATGGCATATCACCAAGCTAGATGTCTCAAATGCATTTCTTCATGGTCATCTCGATGAGGTAGTATATATGTCTCAGCCCTCGGGTTTTGTTGATCCCACTCGACCAGACCATGTATATCTTCTCAAACGCCTTTATGGCCTGAAACAAGTTCCCCGAATGTGGAATAAATGCCTCACTGTGCCTTACTTTCACTAGGATTTTTGGGATCCAAAACTGATAGTTCATTGTTTTTTAAGTGTGCTGGTGAAAGAAAATTTTTCTGTCTAATCTATGATGATGATATCTTAGTAATGGGCTTTGACTCTACTCTTGTACAGTCTCTCGTTACGCAACTATAGAATAAGTTTGCGGTTCGTGACTTGGGAAAACTCTCATACTTTTTGGGCATAGAGACGCATTGGACGAGTGTTGGTTGCATTTGCAACAAGGGAAATTTGTTGGTGATCTCTTGAAACGTGTTCAGATGGATTCCTGTAGCAACATTTTCACTCCAGCTTCTCCTTCAACCAAACTTTCTTCCACTGAAGGTAGTCAATTCAATGATCCCACCTTGTATCGGAGTGTTGTAGGTGCATTGCAATAGTTGACCTTTACCCGGCCTGATATAGCATACGATGTTAACAAGGTTTCTCAGTCCATGCATTGCCCTATGGATATTCACTGGACTGCTTTCAAACGTATTCTACGATACATTAAGGAAACTCCATCTCATGGCTTGTTTTTTGCTAAAGGCACATCCACCTTGTTGCATGAGTACACTGATTCAGACTGGGGAAGTGATGTAAATGATCAAAAATCTACTACTGGGTTTGCTATCTTTTTGGGATCTAATCTCATTTCATGGGCATCACGTAAGCAACGAGCAGTGTCACGCTCTAGTACTGAGGCAGAGTATAGAGCTCTTGCGACTGCCACTTCAGAAATTATTTGGATTGAGCATCTTCTTTGTGAGATTGACTGTTTTCCTTCTTATATTCCTACTCTATGGTGTGATAATTTAAGTGCTACGTATTTGACAGCTAATCCCGTCTTTCATACTCGGACAAAGTATATGAAAATTGATTTTTATTTTGTTCGCGAGCGAGTTCGAGCAAAGTCCTTATATGTTCAATATGTAAGCTCCCATGACCGGTGCGCACTCGAAGGATAGCGACTGCGTATTTCGTGAGAATTTTCACAAAAAAATTACTCTTCTACACTTAAAATAAATAATTAAAACTTTTGCTCGGCAATTCTAAACTTTAAATTAGGTGGTTCACAAAATTCATCAATAATAACATTTAAATAGAAATATAGAATAAAATAGTTCAAGCTCCAAAATTGTGACTCATAATTTGTGATCATTAAAAGACTTTAAACAATCAATGAATCACACGGCTACAATTTCACGTTATGGATGATCAAGAATGAATGGTGGTGGACCCCATATGGAAGCAAAATAACCACTAACAGAGAAGATACAGATCTCCAAACAGATGGGATGAAGAAAAAATATGGGGACCATAAAAACAAGAAAAATCTTACTCCTATTATTCAAAGTAAAATAAAATACGTGTAGTTGGGAAAAAATCAAAGTCCAATACAAAAATCAAAGCCAGCCAGTTTAATTGTGTGGTTCTCAACATTCCATTTTCCTTTTCCTTTTCCTTTCCTTCACTACCACTCAATAAAAACCAAAGGCTACCAAGTTTACAACAACCCCTTCTTCTTCATAAACCACAAAAAAATCTTTTATAACCCAACAATTTCTAAAACTCAACCACACACCAACAAAGAATTCCCCTCCATTATCACTTCAATATTGAAGATTTTAGTAGCTTGTAGTTGAAAGTTGTAAGTATTTTCAATGGCAACTACAACAACTTCAATTTCAGCTACTACTACTTTTTCTTCATCTATTGGTGGTGAAGATTATGCCTTACTTGCTAGGAAAGTGCCAATGAACGTACGTATGGGGAAGCCAGTGAGATCAAGGCCAATGATGGGGAATGTTAATGAAGGGAAAGGACTATTTGCTCCTATTGTTGTTGTCACTAGAAATATTGTTGGCAAGAAACGTTTCAACCAGCTTAGGGGCAAAGCTATTGCTTTACACTCTCAGGTAATGATCTTCTATAACAGCAGACTCCTTGTTTTCCATCCAGTCAGCTTGCACATATCTCGATTTGTCTATTTGGTATATATGTTACTCTCGCGATACTGATATCGCGCGAGTAACACTCATTTCATTGGCCGGTAGGGCACACTTTTCGATGCATTAGCCGACTGCTTTTAGTTTATACTCCTAGTCCTATCCTTTTTTTTCTCCCTATTTATTTTTTAATGTTTTTATAGTTGTGGAATTTTGGTCAAACTATTTTTTTTGCATTAAGTTTTCGTAGATTTCTTATCCATACTGAATGGTCTATCAAAGTGCCCTGTTGGAGATCAAGTAAAATATCACAGCTGTTCGCTCAAAATTGATGAAATATATTTTTTATTAGTTGATGCTCAAATTGAGCACTAAGTCTACAAATTTGACCATTTGGAAAGGTGTTTGGATTTTAGATTTAGAAGCTTTAAATCCTTAAGATTATAAATGACATTTATATGAGTATAAAATATGGACTCAATAAACTACGATTTAAGTTTGTAATTCCAATTCAAATTTGATTATATATATTCAGAATGCGAATGATTCGTGCCAACTGGATTTGAAGTACGTCGGGTTTTTTACACCATAGAGGTTTTGGTTCTAAGTTCTAATTCTATTGTTCTAAGCAAAATAGAGTAATGCTTTTCAATGTTGACTTTGACTAGCTGTCCTTGTAGTTTCATTTACTTGATAAATTCATTTTTTTAAAAGTAAAACTTGAAATTGAAGATTTACATGAAAAATACTACGAAATGTTAACAAAAATCAGACATTATTTGAAAGATTTTGTCAAAGACAATTTATTGGATACTTCTTCTTAGCTGAATGTGGTGTTGAATCACCAAAAGAATAGTCTAATGGTTAAGAGGTCAGAATGCAAATGATAGTGTCATAAGTTTGAAGATATTTATACACACACCCTCAAACGATCTCTATAATAATTTCGTTTGTTCCGATATTTTTTTGGTTGCTATAGTGAAGTGTTGTTATAGAGTATATATATTATAACGGAACATAAAAATCGGTCCCGAAAGAAATTTTACTTTTATAGTGAATGAATGTTATATAGAAATATTGTTACAGAGAGGTGTGAGTGACTGACTATATAAGAGAGGTACATTTTTCTACTAAGTCTAATACTAAAAGAGAATTATGTTTATTGTATTTGTTTTTCAGGTAATCACAGAGTTCTGCAAATCAATAGGAGCAGATCAGAAGCAAAGGCAAGGATTGATCCGACTAGCAAAGAAGAATGGTGAAAGACTTGGATTTCTTGCTTGATATCAGCTTTATATATTATAATATGGTGTCCCATACCATTGACATGGGAAATGTTATTATGATCAAATAGCTTAGCTATAGCTTTTGTGTACTTGAAACAACTCAATGTTGATACAACTTAGTTATCTGTACTATTCAAACATATGCATTGTAGTCTACTAGGCATGCCTTCTTGTTTTTAACACTTGGATTGTATCCATATTCATTATATTAACCCTTTTAAGGAAATAACAAAGTACAAGAGAAATTATCGAAAAGAAAGGCAGGTCTTCAGGAAAAGTAATGGTGATAAGGGGTGTGTTTGATACGAAAGAAAATATTTTCTTGAAAAATAAGTGATTTTTCTAATTTAGTTTTCGGTGTTTGGTTAGGTAGCAGAAATATTATCGAAAAATTTATAATTTAGGCACACTATATTAGTTGAAATGGGTAAGGGGCGGGGAGGATGGTAGGTTAGGGTCTAAGGGCCGGAGTGGCGGTGGCAATGTTGGGGAAGGGTAGGTGGAGTTGGGGTGGGAGAGTGGGGGTAGGAAATGGGTGGGTAAAGTTGATAAAGAGTTTTTGAAAATATTTTACCTCCTTTTCGTATGGAAGTCATTTTCCTCAGGAGGAACATATTTTTCAAAATATTTAAGTCAACCAAACATGGGAAACGACTTGTGTTCGGGGAGACATGGAATTTCTATCTCTCCGTTTAATGTCAAGTGGAGGTTCAAAATACACGTATCAAACTACATTTAATATTCGGTGTTAATTCGAACATAAATTCTTCAAGTTTTTTAAAATGACATTTCCATATTCAAAAACCTTACATGGAATACTACTAGTCATATTTGTAAATCATTCAAGATATTAAAAAGAAATTTGAAAAAAAAGTAAAAAAAAAAAAAAAAATTCTTTGATCCTCCAAATAATGTGTCATAGATGATGGAACAATTGGAGCACACCATTTTGCGTCATTGATAATTCCTCTCGCACAAGGCAACTCACGCAAGGCTGGCTTTGAGGGAGAAATCCTAGTTGATGGGTGCAAACTAGTGGTGGCAAAATGAATAAAAAAATAGTTATTTATCCATATTATTCATTAAAAATGGATTGGATAATAAATTATTTTTAAAATTGGACAAATATGAATAAGATTCATATTATCCAATTAAAAAATAAATAATCTGTAATAATCAATGGATAACCAAAGAGTTTAACTTTTACATCAAATTGGGAATTTCTCAAGTTTGGGAGACTATAAATTCTTTCAAAAGTGATGATATTCAAGAAGTCATGGATAATATGAATATTTATAGTATTCGCCATTAATCAATTTTCTATCAGTATTAAATATAGATTGAATCGGATAATTTATCCATTTTTACATTATCCGTTTTCAACCTAACCCGACCGTTTGCCATCCCTAGTGCAAACTAAGAGCCAATGAATATTTGGAAGAGAGTGTATCATTAAAGACGTCAAAGTAACGAACAGATGTTGGACTAAAAAGAGTATTCTTTCTTAAATTCTCATACGGATGCAAAACGATAGGACTCTATGTGAGAGCACGAAACGTTTGAGTTGTGACTATTGCATCGTAAGAAGAAGTGCTACATATTTTGGTACTAATTTAGGGCCCGTTTGGATTGGCTTAAAAAAGTGGCTTTTAAGTTAAGTGCTTAAAAGTACTTTATAAGTGCAGGAACTTGTTTTATAAATAAGCAGTTACGTGTTTGGATAAAAGTGCTAAAACTTAAAACAAGCTGATGAAGTGTTTGGTAAACAAGTGCTAGTAAGCACTTTTTCTTGTTAAAATGACTGAAATATCCTTAAAGTTGTTAACATTATAAAGAAGATGATGACTATAATATTATATTTTTCGTTCATACCTTCAAATTCAGGATAACACGTAAATTCATTGAATGATTTGATTTTAGAATATAGTTACACCAATTAAAAAAAAGGAAGGATTTAACGATCAAAAAAATTAAATGTTATGGAACCAAAAAAAAGAAGCCAAAAGAACAATATTTACAAAATAATAGAATGTATCAAACATTATTTAAAAAATTATTGTTTGCTTCAAGTTAAGAACTTCAAAAAATTGACAAATATTGGAGAATGGAGAAAAAAAAATATGTTGTAAGGTTTTTACTTGGGGGTAATTTCAAAATTAAAAAAAAAAAATAAAGGATAAGAATGTAATATCCTTGATCAAAGCAATATGGCTTTTAAACCGATTTAGAAAAAATTGGGTTTTCCAACTTATTGGTTTTGACTTTTTTTAAACAGATTTTAACTTTTTTTAAGCCCATTTTTTGATTGCCAAACACTTCCACAAGTTAAAAACTGCTTAAAAGCTGGTTTGCCCAGCAAACCAGCTTTTAAGCCCATCCAAACATGCTCTTAGCACTTTAGCTAATGATAGCCTCACTCGAGCAGTTTATTGCTACTATCATTTTCCTTAGATGATTTTCAACCTCTTAGACGGTGAGCTCTATCTAAATTTCTTCTTTTCATTACAATAAGCTACATATCAAATTAGTTATCACTCAACTAAACCTTTTTGACAGAAGAGAAGTCCCTTGGCTTTGGGGAATGAAAAATGCAGAACTCGCATCACTAAATTAAGACATGAGGCACACTTTAGACAAGTAACAAAGAAGCAAACAAAATCTTTAACACAATACATCCAAAGATACATATCAAGTACGAATAAATTTCAAGAAAATCAAAATTTGCAGCAGACAAGCGCAAACTAATGCTAATCGTACAATTTTCAGTAAACTTAGGGACCGGTGTCAATCCCACACAATAAGGGAATTCACACAGTATATCGACTCTTAACTGACCTTTCCTTTTTAGAGTCATCCTGCAACAACCAAAAGAAAGGTTGATTAAGAAAGAAAAAAATTAACAGGAGGAAAGATAAAAGACACTTGATTTTGCAATAATGGTAAGGGGCAACAGAAGTTACATGGAAACTATAGGATATTTTTTCAGCATCGATGATCTCCTTCCACTTCCTACCAATGCTCATCTGCAGCATAAAACCAACCAGTCATATATCATTGCAAAACCATGGAGCATCAAGTGTAGCAACATGCCAGAAAACAAAAGTTAAGAGTGAAGATTGTTGATATCCAGACAGGTTACATGGTCAAAAGCAGGAAATATACGCAGTCAGACAACAATAAACAAAAAAGGGAACCTAGTGGAGAAATGTAATCGAATTTAAATTGAAACCTTGTGTATTGCAATACTGTAAGATGAACATGTCTAATATAAGCTTTTAGTATAATCTGGAACAGTGCTTACAGAATGAAATACAAAAACTTATGTCAAACTCCAAGCTGCATGTTCAGAGGGGAAAAGATACATTTTCCAGCATCTTTTTTTTTGGAATACAATGGGTGATGCGGGCACAATGAAGGAGGTGTTGCATAGTTGGGCCTTCAGGAGGAGGAACAGAAGATTGAGGGCATGTGATGTCGCCCCATCAGCCATTATGTGGGTTATATGGAAAGAAAGGAACATGAGAGCATTTGAAGGGGTTGATAATGATTTAGTAAAATTGCAAAACAATCTCTTGTCTAGTTTCTTTTTGATGTACCCATGAGGTACCTATGTGTATTTCTTTCATGGAGAACCGTATTCTGTTGTAGGTTCTCCACTTTTTGGTATAGGCTTGTATACGGGGTCTCCCCATCACTAATAAAATTATTTACTTTATCAAGAAAACTGAACAAATGCCAGAGAAAAGCTATACCATTACAATAAATAAAAACGTCATAGCTGCCAATTATGGTTAGAGAATAAGTGAAAGGAAATATCAAGGATTCCCTGCCAAGAAAAATAATAATTTCAGCCACTGATTAGCTAGGGTATGTGATGGTTTTAATTGATATTTAAATTATATATTGAATAACAGATCTAGTGCTCCATCCATGGGTCACAATGGGGAAGGGCATTCTTTTCTTGTTCTCAAAATTCGGTGCTCAAATAAAGCTGCTCTCCTTTTTCAGCGTTTACAAAAAAATTGGAGATGGGACAGATCATCATTAAGAAAAAGATAATATTCTGGTATATCCTTTTTTTAATAATATTTCATATCAGATTTAGGATATAGGGGAAAAAATAACACAGTTTTTAGTTCAGAATTTCAGATACTATTTGACACCACGAGAATTCCAAACTAACCTGAGCTGCTTCATTGGAGGCAGTCCTAGTCCACAAGGAAAGTTTATCCTGACTCCGACGAACACTGGCAACCACTCCACATATCTCTTCTGATTCATCAAATTGCTCACCCACCAATGCCATCAGCTGCCCAAAAGAAATCCATCCAGCAAACAATATGTGAGCATCTTTAGCAAGAAATTAATCAACATAATGCTTTCATGACATCCTGCCTACTGAACAGAAACCAACAGAAGCAAAGGGAAGACTTTATTACAGTTTCAAGCCACATAGTCTCAAGATTAGCCTTTCTGCTGCTCGTGACAGTCCACTTGCCACCATTGGCACACTCAGGATCTTCCCATTTGGGCTCAATCCCAGCTTTGAACAAATGAAAGTCCGCATTAGCAGTCAACTTGCTGGGCTTGAATATCTGATCATATAAACTGCAAAGAGAAAGATCTAACACTTCAATTGGCATTTAAAAGCAGCTTCTATCCAACTATTACACTTTCTAAATAATAATATCTCGTCAATGAATTAAAATAAAGCCACACAACATCCCAAGTATGGATAAATTGCAGCGGTAGAATCCATTACTGGGGAAATTATGAAATTTAAGATAAAAATGCACGGTTTGGTTTTATAGCACACTGCTTGACTGGACAGTAATTATATTAGTGGAGGTTGAAGAAAACACTAAATTGATATCTAAAAAGTTAGTTTTATAGAGAACATATCACAAGCTTTGGATTGTTAAATAATTCAAATTCTTGGTTTTTTTTAAATGATGCGGTATCCAGCTTCCGCCGGGTACCTGCAAATGGGAACTAGTATTCTTTTCACTGCCGCTGTAATTTGAACCCGAGACCTCAAGGTTCTTCTCCCACTTCATTCACCACTAGCTACACCCATTGGTTGCAGTTAGATTCTTGAAAATTGCAAAAGATGCATAGAACAATATTCTTAAAGAAACTTTTCCATAATAATACTCAATAATTAGTGTAATGGTGAAAAA